AGAGAGATGGGGGGGCTAAACTGAGTGGGAGAGAGATGGGGCGGAACTGAGGGAGAGATATGGGGGGGGAACTGAGTGGGAGAGATATGGAGGGGGAACTGAGTGGGAGAGATGGGACGGAAACTGAGGGAGAGATGGGGGGGAACTGAGGGAGGTATAGGGGGAGAAAACTGAGTGTGGGACGGGGGTTGAGGGGGGACAACATACACACAGCACCCCTGCCCTACACATATCACCCCACACAAAGACACCCACACATCACCATACCCACACATCACATCACCCCACCCACACACACACACACACAAACACATACAATGTACCCCTCAATGCAGTGTGTGTACACTCAGCAGTCTGTCTGTGTGTGTACACTCAGCAATCTGTCTGTGTGTGTACACTCAGCAATCTGTCTGTGTGTGTACACTCAGCAATCTGTCTGTGTGTGTACACTCAGCAGTCTGTCTGTGTGTGTACACTCAGCAGTCTGTCTGTGTGTGTACACTCAGCAGTCTGTCTGTGTGTGTACACTCAGCAGTCTGTCTGTGTGTGTACACTCAGCAGTCTGTCTGTGTGTATTTAGCTGTGTGTGTACTCGGCAGTCTGTGTGTGTGTGTGTGTGTGTGTGCGTGTGTATTCAGCAGACTGTGTACTCAGCAGTCTGCTAAGTACACAGACAGACTGCTAAGTACACAGACAGACTGCTAAGTACACAGACAGACAGACTGCTAAATACACACACAGAGATGTTAATTAGTTCGGACAACTGTATGAGTTGTTTTTTCGAAACTTAAACCTCAGTATTCAGGTTTAAATGCCGTTTTGGCACTTTGAGGGAAAAAAAATTGGCATGTATTACGGTTTGGGCACTCGGGCTCAAAAAGGTTCGCCATCACTGCCCTAAATGAAATCTTGGATGCCTTTTAGTTATGGATTTTTTCAATGGACCTATATCTAAAAACAGCTTGAAAAACTGCAGATCCCCTGTCTGCTGCCTTTGCAAGCACTCCCCCCGCCCCCCAAATTTTATGTGACTAAAATCACAGGCTTCCCAATGCAGCTCAATGAGAAGTCTTTGCAAGGCAGGTGCTCTGGGCAACTGCTGCCTCTTACATTCAGTGCAAATAAGCCAACCAAACCAAGAACTAAGAGGACCTGTTGTCTGCTTGAAAAGCCAGGGGGGTGTAACCAATATAATTTGTGAGAGCATCAATTTCTATTGAAATATGCACTATTTCCAAAATGAAAAAAAGAGAGGGTCCACTCTTCACACATAAAGGTTTTCAGCAAGCTCAAGTGCTTTAGAGGTCTGGAGTGTCCTTTTAAAATTGCTCCTTTTTCTTTATGAAAATCATTAGAATTTTTTTTTAAATGTAGATTATCTTTTTTCCACGATTTTGAGATTATTCATCCCTCCCATAAAACAACTGAGATGATCTGATTCAGGAATCTTGTGATTTGTGAATTGATATGCATTAAATGCCTTAGATGTGCCTCAGAACATAGTCATGATAATAGAGAGCCCAAATACACACACACACAAATATATTTGTAAAGTAGGTATTTCAACAATACATTTGTATGAGTGAATGTAAATCTGTGTGTGTGCAGTGCCAGAGCGTCCATTAGGCAGCACAGGCGGCCGCCTTAGGGCGCAAGAGCAGGGGGAGCAAAAATCCAAACCCCCTGTCTCTGGCTCTGGCTCCGGCCCTGCCTATGGCTGGCGACTCAATATTTTTCATATTACTTCTCTCTCCCTGCTGCCGGCAGTCAGTGGAGTCAGCCGTCCTCTCCTGATGAGGTCAGGAGGAGAGGGAGTGACTGCCACTGCTCTTCTCCCAGGACCGCTGGGGAGTCTGCGAGAAGAGCAGTGGAAGTCACGCCCCCTCCTCCTGACATCATCAGGAGAGGCCAGCCGACTTACCAGGCTGCTGTATGCTACCGCCAGCTCCTGTTCCACTCCTCCCTGGCCTAACGTAAGGAATGCACTTTTGTTTTTTGTTAAATCCATTTTTTTAAAGCAGTGCACCCCTCTACAGCACCGATGCCCTAACCACAGCCCCTGCCTCCCTCAACAGCTCATGCCTGCCCCTGTGCCCCCCACCAATGCCTATGTGCCCTCTTTCAGCCCCTGTCCCCTCTCTCAGCCCCTGTGCTCCTACCACAGTTCCGGCCTCCCCCCATCCCCTGTGCCCCCACCACAGCCCTTGTGCCCCCTCTCTCAGCCCCTGTGCCCCTACCAAAGCTTCTGTGCCCCCCACCACAGCACTTGTGCCCCCTATAGCCCATTTGCGCCCTGCCACATCAAGGCAAGCCTCAATAGGTGAGTTCCTACACTAGCCATTAGATATGCTGATATCAGCCAAGAATATCCAGTAAGACAGGAAGGGGTATTTTATAAACCCTCTCATCAAGTTATAGAAATTAATGGTACTATGCTTGATGGGAAATCCAGAGAGATGTATCCCCTTTTCATTCTTAGAAATGACTTGCTTTATAGAGTGATAAAAGATGAGGGGCAAGAGATTGAACAGCTTTTGGTACCCAGATCTTTCAGAAGGAAGGTGTTAGATCTGGCTTATTCTCACTTATTGTGGGGGCACCTGGGGGTTGAAAAAACTCAGGAATGGATTCTAAGGAGATTTCTGGCCTGGGGTATATGAAGAGGTACTGCGCCTCATGCCCAGACTGCCAACTAGCAACCCCAAAACCTCACTTAAGAGCACCCCTAATCCCATTGCCTATAATTGAAACCCCTTTTGAGCGAATTGCTATGGATTTGGTGGGACCATTGGAAAAGTCAGCAGGGGTAATCAGTACATTTTGGTTGTATTGGATTATGCCACACGCTATCCAGAAGCTATTCCTCTTCACAATACTGCTTCCAAAACCATAGCAAAAGAATTGCTCCAGGTATTTTCTTGGGTAGGGTTACCAAAAGAGATTTTAACTGACCAAGGTACCCCTTTTATGTCCCGACTAATGAAAGAGCTATGCCAATTATTGCAAATAAAAGCCTTGAGGACATCTGTGTACCATCCTCAAACCAATGGCTTAGTAGAAAAATTCAATAGAACCCTAAAACACATGTTGCGCAAGGCTGTAGGTCGAGATGGGAAAAGTTGGGACACTCTCTTACCATAATTGCTGTTTGCTATTCGGGAGGTTCCCCAATCTTCAGAAGGGTTTTCCCCTTTGGAGCTCCTTTATGGTAGACACCCAAGGGGTCTATTAGATATAGCAAAGGAAGAATGGGAAGAACAAACAGTACCTGGAAAGAATGTGATTCACTATGTAGATCAACTCAAAGAGTGCATTACACAAATTTCTCTAATAGTCAGGCAATACCTGGAAGAAGCTCAAAGGAGCCAACAGGTAAACTACAATGGTCAGGCAGTAGTAAGGTCCTTCCAACCTGGGGACCGAGTGATGGTACTTGTTCCCACAGCTGAGAGAAAACTCCTGTCTCATTGGCAAGGCCTGTACAAGGTTATTGAACAAGTAGGGCCAGTAAACTATAAAATTAGACAGCCTAATTGTAGGAAAGTTTAACAAGTTTACCATATAAACTTATTAAAGGCCTGGAAGGATAGGGAAAGCTGTATGATTGCTGTAGACTAATCCCCAATTGTTGACGTTAGTATATGCGCTGATCTCACCCCTGAACAGCAGATGGAAGCCAAAGAAATGATATCCAGAAATAAAGATGTATTTTCTAGCATTCCTGGCAGAACTAGTGAAATCTGCCATGACATTATCAAGGAACCAGGAATTACAGTAAAATTAAAGCCCTAAAGAATTCCTGAGGCAACAAGGGGGGCGATACATATGGAAGTAGCAAAAATGCTCGAACTAGGAGTTATTGAGGAGTCACATAGCCAGTGGTCTAGCCCCATAGTTTTAGTACCTAAGCCAGATGGGTCAGTACGTTTTTGTAATGATTTTGGAAAACTTAATGAACACTCTAAATTTGATGCCTATTGTGACGGATCTTCTGCCCAAAACCAGTTCCACAGAGTCTTCTTTCCTGGAGATAATTGGGAAGTAATCCAATTATCTCCAAGGACAGAGGCAAAACTCCATTAACCACATGGCAGTAAAATGACAGTAAATCACATAGAACATACACATTCGACCTATCCCCAGATAGCTTAGATCTCAGCGCCCATTACTACTGGATGGCGCTCAGATCACATGCATACAGTTCAATCGCCATGGAGCCAAACTCTTTCCCATAGTCTTTCGGTATACGAATGGGCTCCATGGCTTAGCTATCTGGGGTAACACTGCTCACATAGGGAAAATAAAAGGTTTTTAATGCAAGGCCATAGTCCAGCGGCAAGAGGTGGGCAACCAGGCTCCTCCAGTGCATAGTGGCGAGGTTGGTTCCGCCACACCTATCCTATGCCCCGAGTGGACGAACTTATTGAGAAACTGGCACAGGTCAGGTTTCTAAGTGTTCTAGACCCAACAAAAGGATATTGGCAGATCCCGCTGACAAAATCAGCTAAAGAGAAGACTGAGTTGGGGGGGCGGAGCCTGGACACCAATGGAGCAAGACGTGTAAAGCTCGAGCTCTCCCGTCCAGGAGTGACAATCAGCAAACATCAGCAGCTTCCCCCAGGCATCCAGCCTTATAAACAGGTTAACAGATACCCACACAGCCGCCCATCAGAAATACCGATGGGGGGCACTAAAAAAAGAAAGGAACAACCGACCTCAGTGGCCTCAATGTTCCGCACCGCCAGAGAATTAACGCGGCCATCTTTGAGCCAGGAGGCACAAAACACCCACGATTCGGGCTCAGAATCCGACAACGATGAGGACACAGACAGGAGACAAGAGCCTCTCACGAAGGCAGACCTCCACAACATGCTCAAAGAAGCCACAGCCGAAATAAAGGCCCATACAGCGGCAGAATTAGAGCGGCACATCTCAGGCATTAAGGAAGACCTCGAGGCCCTCAACACTCGTGCAACACAGGCAGAATCAGACATTACACTGCTCCAATCAACCTCATCGCAACATGGGCAAGACATCTATTACCTAAGCGACAAGATACAGTATCTGGAAGACAGCTTAGAAGACTTAAACAACCGTTCTCGCAGAAATAATATCAGGATAAGAGGCCTACCGGAAGCTGTGGATGCCGACGCCATTTTACCCACGCTCCGCGACCTCTTTCACACAATACTACCAGACTCCACCGAACAGGAATGCGACATCGAACGGGCCCACAGAGCACTGAGGCCCCTGGCGCTCAATCCCACCTCACCTAGGGACGTTATAGTCCGCATGCAGCACTTCGCTACAAAAGAAAAAATAATGGCTGCCACCAGGGCCTCACCACCAAAATATGGAGCCTCCACGTTGGCCTTTTTTCAGGATCTGGCACCGTCTACCCTAAAGAAAAGAAGGGACCTGAAACCCCTGACGATGGCCTTAACCAAAAAGGGTCTGAAATACAGATGGGGCCACCCTTTTAAACTACAAGTGCGCCTGGACGACCAAGACCACGTTCTACACCACCCCGCGGAAATGGAGGACTTTGCTACAGCCCTGGGCCTCCAGCTCTTCACCGGGACGCAGGCAGCCGACCGGTACAACACAGCTCACGGAGAACATCACAGAGCAGCACAACCACCCCGAAACCAAGCTAAGAAGAGACCCCCACCACGGGCTGAGAATACCGACCCAACGGCTACCTGATGGACATGCAGCAAACAGGTTTCCCGTATAGGGAGGCGTGCTAGATGATGGGACAGGTTCTATATATTTACTTACTATGTTTACTTACTATACCATTACTATACCATCACAAGCCACATAATGTATTTCATGCATACATGTAATGTTTTGCGGTACAGTAGCTGTTAATACAGGGACCAGGGATTGAAGTTGCAGGGCCCACGTAGCACTGCTAACAAAAGACCACCAACACGGACACCCTGGGTACCCCCCCTTACCAGCATGCACCCACCTCCCAGACACTGCACTCAGCTCTATCTCTAAAGAGCCCCCAGCCCACATCAACCAAAACAGGAGCTGTATTACACACGTAAAACTCACACACCAACGGTATGTTATGGGCGGTAAAAGCTGGAGTGTGGATCACACAGTGGGAGGTTAAACAAATGTAAATAAGTTATGAGTATGAACGGTTAATATGTTGAATGCTTAGTACAGCTCAGTAAGTCCAGACACTTGGACACAGACGGACGCCCTCCAGGCCTGGGATACTCAACTGCCCCAAAAAAAAAAAAAAAAAACTTTAATATAAGCTAGCAGGGCCACAGAACAGTCACACAAATCTTAACATGGGCAATCCCCATCTTCCCCGAGGGAGCCACCATAACACAACAGAGCATGCACAGACACCCACTGAACACCACCACTAATTGCCACTAACAGAGGAGACACTAGGGCAGACTCGAGGTAACAGCATATTTCATAATAAAAAAAAATAAAAAATAAAAAAAATAAAATAAAATAATATAAAAAAATAAAAATAAAAAAAAATAACCTGATACTCCCATGACCCGCTCCCCTAGACAGCACCCTCAACTCTAAGTGTGACACTTTATACATAGCCTACAACAGGGCATACTGCCCACCCCTTAAGATCATACTGCCCATCTCCCGCATAATATGGAAAGAGGGTAAAGGGGACCTTGTACAAGCTCTCAATGGGTTTCTAATGAGGTATTGCAAATGTGAAAATGTAAATATTGTTCGAAAATGTGTTGTGCATTGTACCCACAGACTATTAACTGACCCCACCACAGGCACGACCCCACAGCACGGACAACAGGCCCCCCCCGGGGACTCTAGGAACATCACCGCAATGGAGATGTTGGGGCCACCAAACCGAAACAGTAAGACCCCCAAGGGTAGGAAGAAACCCTGACCCCCAACAAGGGACACGCACACACAGGAACGACACTACATGACGCCTGTGACCGTATAATTATCAGACCCATGACACGCAACACACGACGCACTCCAACTCTCACCACAACCCAAAGAACGCTCCAGGAGACAATGGACCCAATCCAACAGACAATATTGAGACCCTCAACCACCTGGTATAAAATAACGATATCTGTTACATTGATACCTTTACAGAAGCCATGACACCCGCTACGGCGATTCTATTCGGACCCCCCCACCGAAGGATATGAATAACCTGATAAGACAACACCAGAGGTAAATTCACAACACTCCGAAGTGACGGGAGGAGAGAAGAGACACCCCTCTCGACACTTCCTACTCAACCCACACACCTCTATTACCACCACTTACAACGGCTCCCACCGCTTTACAAGCGGCTACATAGAGGGAACCGGTTTGGATCAGTACAAGGTACAGACACCCAAACCCCCTCCACCTCCGTCCCCAACACTCCTGGCAACTTCGGTATCAGACCAGGCACATCCCGACCAACCCGCCCCTACATACACAAATACCCCACCGGGGCGTAAAACCTCAGAACTCAATCCTTGGAACGAAACCTAGGCATACACGCCCTCACCCTCTGGCATCATCCCTCCCCCTTACCCTATCCCTCCTCATAGCCAGGCGCACCGCCCTAACACATACACACGAATAACCCCAGAAAACAACACCCCCTGTGAGAACAACCAGACATTATGACTGCCAAACTCACCTGCATTTCCATTAACTGCAAAGGCCTCAACAATCCAGCGAAGAGACACAGACTTATGAGGTGGGCGAACCGCACAGGAGCAGATATAATGCTACTACAAGAAACTCACTTCACCCAGACCAAACCGTTTCCCCTCCTCAGCCGGCACTTTAGAGAATGCTATACTGCTAACTCCCCCAACACCAAACAGAATGGAGTAGCCATACTGCTACGCAAGACATGTCCCCTAAACGTAAAACAAGTTATTAGAGACCCCCAAGGCAGGTTCCTGACACTCACAGGCCAGGCAGGCCCCAACAAATATGCCATCACAACACTCTATGCACCGAACATCCCTGACAAATCATTCTGGGATACACTACAGGCCCACCTGACACTAACCCCAGGCCACCTCAAAATTATTGGAGGAGATTTCAATGCTACGTTGTCACCGGCGACAGACAGACACCGCACCCGCCGACACGGACAAAACACAGCCCCTACAACCAAAGTAGACAAACTGCTACTAGCATTCACCCTCCAAACACGATTGGTTGATGTGTGGCGAACACTACACCCAACCACACATGACTTTACATTCTTTTCCCACCCACACAACTCATACTCACGTATAGACCTATTTTTGATCTCCCCCTCCCTCCTACCCATGGTCCACACGGCCACCATAGGCAACATAACATGGTCAGATCATGCGGACATAACTCTAACAATAAAAATCCCAAATGTAGCGCGCCCCTGGACCTGGAGACTGAACCCGACTCTGCTACATAACCCCCTCCTGAGAGACACCATTCACAAAGACTTGTCAGAATATTTTACCAATAATGCACCCTCAGCACCCTCTCCGGGAATACTATGGGCAGCACACAAAGCAGTCATTAGGGGGAAATTAATTAGCCTAGCCGCAGCACATAAGAAAACTCAACTAAAATCACTAGCTAAATCCCTGGAGGCCCTCAGGAACCTAGAAACCGAACACAAACGAAAGCCCACCCCTGACATTCTCGCAAAACTGGCAGACTGCCGCACTCAAATTAAAGACTTCATGGCCAAGGACTCGGCCAAGGCATTACAATGGTCAAAACAGACCTACTATGAAAAATCAAACAAAGCAGACACTCTGCTAGCGAGAAAACTTAAACACAGGACAGACCAAAAAAGAATAGACAAAATACAGACACCGGAGGGAGTCATACACTCCCTCCCATCAAAAATAGGTGAAGTCTTCCAAAGATACTTTACCACACTATATGACCACAACCCAGAGGCGAGACAACACCCGGAGGTAATGTTAGAATCCATAAACACATATCTGCAAAAAATACCACTACCAGCCCTGAAACCAGAAGCAATAGCTAAACTAAGCGAACCTATCACCATAGAAGAAGTAGCCACAGCAATTAAAAACACTAAACCCAATAAAAGCCCCGGACCCGATGGTTTCTCGGGTCTCTACTATAAAACCTTCCCAACCACACTCCTCCCACACCTATGCTCACTCTTCAACTCTGTGATACAGGGAAACCCGCTACCACCAGACATGCTCCGAGCCAACGTGTGCCTCCTCCCTAAACCAGGCAAATCCCACCTGGACCCAAGCCACTATAGACCAATCTCTCTACTGAACGTGGACGTCAAATTACTCACTAAACTACTCGCAAATAGAATAAACCCATACATACATAAACTTATCCACCCCGATCAGGTAGGTTTCATACCCCACAGACAAGCATACGACAACACAAGACGGACCTTCGACCTCCTTTGGACCGCAACACACCGACGCATCCCAGCCCTCTTTCTCTCACTAGACGCAGAGAAGGCTTTTGACCGACTCCTATGGCCTTTTCTGTTCGCTACCCTCCGCAAATTTCGAGTACCCCACACAATTCTCAACGCACTTCAAACTTTGTACTCCTCCCCAGAAGCAAGCCTCCTCATCCCTAACACACAACCCCCCTCCTTCCGCATCTTCAATGGAACCAGACAGGGATGCCCCCTCTCCCCACTATTATTCGCCCTCTCATTAGAACCCCTCCTCCAAGCTCTCAGGTTCGACCCTACAATATCGGGCATATGTATAAGAGGGGAGGAATACAAAGTAGCAGGATACGCAGACGATCTCCTCCTAACTCTCACCGACCCAACACAATCTCTACCTCCACTCCTTCACGCCTTGGACGAATATGCCAAAGTCTCAGGTTATCGCCTCAACCTAGATAAGACAGAGGCCCTACCGGTCCAAATCCCAGCTGACGAGCTATCCCACCTACAGACCAGCTATCCTTTCCATTTCAACCCATCTCACATACACTACCTAGGCGTCAATCTTCCAGCAGATGTCACTCAAACGTATCACCTAAACTATACCCCCTTACTACAAAAAGCGCTGGCAGACCTCAAGACATGGGAGACATACTCGATCTCTTGGCTGGGAAGAGTAGCCTGCATCAAAATGAATCTTCTACCAAGATTCTTGTACCTGAATCAAACGCTACCAGTCCAGATATCGATCAAAGATTTCAAAGGCTTACAAACGCAGATCGACCGCTTCATATGGGCAAACAAACGCGCCAGGATTAGGCGAGACATCCTATATCTCCCGACCAGGATCGGGGGACTAGGTCTACCTCATTTTCTACACTACTTTCATGCGGCCCAATTAGCCCAAGTCCAGGCACTACACGCCCCCATAGGACTCAAACGGTGGGTAGATTTAGAACATGACCTATTTGGCAGGGACTTCCCCACCCTATACATATGGCTACCACGGCACGCACGTCCAAAGGCCCCTCAGACCACACCAGCACTCACCACTTCCATAGCCATATGGAATAAACTCTCTCTACAACACGCGCTCACATCGGACCCATCACCCCTGGCACCGATACTAAGAAATGAACAATTTTTACCGGGCATGACCCCGCGTGACTTTGCTCGCTATGAGGATAACAACCTCCACAGAGTATACCGGTTCTACAAAGACCAACGACTGATTCCGTTCACAGAACTGCCCCAAACAGTGCCACTCACCACACGCGAC